TTTTAATTTCTAGTGATATTTGAAAGCCAAAAATCTCCGTGGATTTACGATTCACCCAAACCAAAACAGATACCGCCTAGTCTACAATATTAGTCGAGAAAATGAAGCACTGAATATCCGAAATCTGTGCAGTAAGATAGATCGTGATGCGGTTTTTTGCATTCGATTCGTCAGAGCGTCCATAAAGTTTGTGACCCTATGTGATCAATGAGAAATGAAAATTAAATAAGTGCATAATAAAAATGCATTTTTAAAATTGCATCTCGAAGAGTTAAAATATGAAAAATTTGTAACTCGGAAAATATTGAGGGAAATAAGTTCAATTTTGCTACTCGGGGGTTTTTGGGGTCGCTGAACATGAATATCACGACGGCGACGGTCTCGGAGGTACCTAGTGACCAGGGTGGCCGGTTTCCACGTCGTCTCCTGGAGTTTTGTGGAAATTCGTTATAAACTTAGCCGAAACTCGTCACCTCGGAGGTTTTTGAGGTCACTTAACACGAATATCACGACGGTAACGGTCCTCGGGGTACCTAGTACCCAGGATGGCTGGTTTCTGTGACAACCATTTTATTCATAATTATTTTTTATTATAAAAATACATTTATTTATTACAAAAAATACATGTTTTCAAAAAAATATTATACTTAGATATCTTTACGATTTTTCTTATTTCACATGTGCGCTATAACTTCGATAAAACTTATGATGATGACATGGGTCGGAGACCATTACCGTTGTGATATTCGTGTTGAGCGACCCCAAAAACCTCGAGGTAACGAGTTTCGGCTAAGTTTATAATGAATTTCCACAAAATTCCAGGAGACGACGTGGAAGCCGGTCACCCTGGGCACTAGGTTCCTCGGAGACCGTTGCCGTCATGATATTCGTGTTCAGCGAACCAAAAACCCCCCGAGTGGCAAAATTGAACTCATTTACGTCAATATTTTACCAGTTATAAATTTTTCATTTTTTAATTCTTCGAGATGCAATTTTAAAAATGCATTTTTCTTATGCACCGATGCAATTTTCATTTCTCATTGATCACATAGGGTCACAAACTTTCTGGACGCTCTAACGAATCGAATGCAAAAAGCTGCATCACGATACATCTTACTGCACAGATTTCGGAGGAAAGGCCTTTTTAGTGTTTTATTTCCTCGAATATACAGGGTTAGAACTATTTAAAGAGAGACTACAGGGATATCGGAAACCATTAGTCATATAGAGTGGCTCAAATTACAAAAAAAGGTTGCACAATTATAGGGCGAGTGTTTTGGTGAAAACAGATCCAAGATATCTCGAAAAAAGTGAAAATATCGATTTTCTATTTTTCGTTATAACTCATTTGTTCTTTAAGATGGCGTAACGAAATTTTGTATCTGGGCATTATCCAATATGGCGATTTCAATGGTGAGGTCAGATTTTTATATCTTTCATTGATTCCGACTCGCGATAGTCAACTTTTTTTTCTTATGGACGCCATATTGGTTCTCCTCATGGATGGATAAAGGAGAAAAATACGAATTCAACGATGTATCACACTTTACAAATGTATCTTGCCTGCCTGCAGCAATTTGAATTTCTTTTGAATTTTCTAAAATAGTAGGCTGATGTACGAATTGTCAAATAATTTGTTACTTTGTTATGACAGATGAAACTGTCATTCGAGTTTTGTGTGCAACCTCCTGTATAATAATAAGAAAAAATCTGAACTCACCATTGAAATCGCCATGTTGGATAATGCCTAGATACAAAATTTCGTGACGCTATCTTAAAAAACAAATCAGTTATCTCAGAAGCTATCGAAGATATCTTGGATCTGTTTTCACCAAAACACTCGCCCCAGAATTGTGCAACTTTTTTGTAATCTGAGTCACCCTCTATGACTAACGGTTTCCGATATCCCTGTAGTCTCCCTTTAAATAGTTCTAACCCTGTATACTATTATATTAAAAAAAAGTTTATGCTCTACTCTATTGCATATTTTTAATATTACACTAAATTACTTTTACTTGTATAAATATATTTAGCAAAGAAAAGTCCGTATAAACATTCCAACTATTGTTTTTCTCTTCCAGGAAACGTCAGTCTACGGATGCCTGCGTAGGTGATCTTGATGTGTGTTGTCACACTGAATGCGGCAAAAGGGGGAGTTCAGACCTTGACGTAACTAACAGAAAATTATTTGGTTCGCAAATACTTGGAAATAACGATAAAGCTGAGTTTGCAGAATTTCCATGGATGCTGGCGCTACTTGAAAATAAAGTTTACTTGTAAGTTCAAAATACTGCTCCAAACACATTTTTACTTTCTTTGCACCTGGAAGCTTTTTTAATACATACGTTAAAAATTTTACTACTTGTTTCTTGGATTTAAAATTGAAAAATAATCATTATTGTTCTAATACAGGTGTGGAGCTTCCTTAATTCACCCTCAAGTAGCCGTCACAGCAGCACACTGTGTTGTTTACAAGACAGACATTGTTGTAAGGGCAGGAGAATGGGACTGGGCTGTGACAACAGAACCTTTTCCGCATCAAGAACGCACCGTTAAACAGGTAATATGGTAAAATAGTGCATTTGTAGTGTTAAAATATTTGTTCACAGTTACGTTTTCGACGAGTTATAGTGTTTCAAATTTAGATGGTTTCATAGTCTCTCTACAGGGTGTCCCACCACGAACTCCATCGATGGATATCTGGGAAACCGCTCGAAGGATTTTTTAAAAATTGCGATGGTGATACGGACCGTGGGGCCTACCAAACTAAAATATTTTCAAGGTCATCTTACTTCCGGTTATACCAGAAGTGGATACTAACTTTTTTATTTTAAATGGTATATTATTGCATTTTTGGAAAAAGCATCCATTTGAAAACATATAGCACATGCACACTCCATACTTAGGATTGACCGTTTCCGAGATATTATGATTTTTAAGCAAAAATTTACAGATGCAGACTGTAACCAAAGTTTAGTTTTCCCGGAAACATAGGTTTATTTTTTTGTGCAAATTGGATATTTTATAGAGGAAGACCTAATTTATCGAGTTCTCCACATTTTCTGAACTTCATATTCGATAAATAATTTTTTTTTTGACCACCCTATATAAAAAACTGGAAAATTTTCATGTCAAATCAGATAAATTAAGTCTTCCTCTACAAAATGTCCAATTTGCACAAAAAGATAAACCTATCTTTCTGGGAAAACTAAATTTTGCTGACAGTTTGCATCTGTCAATTTTTGCTTTAAAATGAAAATATCTCGGAAAGGTCAATCGTAAGTATGGAGTGTGCTATATATTTTCAACTTAAAAATAGATGNTTTGTGCAAATTGGATATTTTATAGAGGAAGACCTAATTTATCGAGTTCTCCACATTTTCTGAACTTCATATTCGATAAATAATTTTTTTTGACCACCCTATATAAAAAACTGGAAAATTTTCATGTCAAATCAGATAAATTAAGTCTTCCTCTACAAAATGTCCAATTTGCACAAAAAGATAAACCTATCTTTCTGGGAAAACTAAATTTTGCTGACAGTTTGCATCTGTCAATTTTTGCTTTAAAATGAAAATATCTCGGAAAGGTCAATCGTAAGTATGGAGTGTGCTATATATTTTCAACTTAAAAATAGATGATCTTTCCAAAAATTCAATAACATACAGAGGGTTCCATTTAAAATAAGAAAGTTAGTATTCACTTCCGGTATAACCGGAAGTACGATGACCTTAAAAATATTTTAGCTTTCAATTTCAAAAAAATCCTTCGAGCGGTTTCCCAGGATATCCACCGATGGAGTTCGTGGTGGAACACCCTATATTTTTATTTATAGAAAAAATACTAGAGGGAGAGAGAAATTGAGGGAGAAAGAGGTGGAGAGGGGAGGGGGGAGAGGGGGAGAGAGGTAGAGAGAGGATGTTCTGATATTATTTGACATAATAAATAAAATATCCTATAAAATACACTTACAAAATGACAAATTACAACATTGCATTTAAAGAAAAATTATTTTTACTTTCATTTTTATTTACTATTATATTTTTATTATAAATAGACCAATCATAAAAGTAGTCTCTTCTCTTCGTAATATTGTCTCTAAAGATAATTCTACTAATGTCAAAAATTTCTAAAAAACTATAGTAATTGATTTTTAAGATAAAAATGAATTAATATTTTTGCTTAAAAAAATAGTTTCTCCCCCTTTAAAAAGGATTCTAAGAAACTATAGTAATTGATTTTTAAGATAAAAATGAATGAATGAACTTTTTCTTAAAAAAATAGTTGCTCCCCTTTTAAAAAGAAAAGTTACTAAGGATTTCTGGTATAACTGAAAACATTACAAACGCTTACTAATTTTTTTTTAAAACCAATTTACTTGAAGGTTAATCGCATTTTATTGCAAATTTGTGAGTTGCAGTCCAATGAGTGCAAAATCATTGACTTACCATTTTGTTTATGGTTAATATAACAATTAACATCCTCACAAAAGTTTTGAAGTATAGTAAACGAATTGCACATTATTTATTTTTTGTACATATATACACTGAGGCTGACTGACCAGCTCTCTGTCCCCACATTCACCTGTCTGACTGACATAACTTTTATTTATATGTAATATCGAATTTGCATGACGATTTTCAGAATTAGTAAATTCATTTTATTACCTCGGTAGGTACGACAACTTTGAGAGACACCTGTTCTCACTTTCGCTTGACTGACCACAGTATGTTTGTGTACACAACAAACTGTAATCAACTATCAGAAAAATAGGCTTAGTAAATTCAAACAATTTTTTGCCTCTGGCTCTGTATCTATAAGCAATTGCTATTTTTTCCAGCCAAATTTTTACTCATCTAGCGAATACAAATTTTCTAACAAATATTTATTCTCTAGATAAATCAAAATTTGGTAAGAAAAAATGGCAACTACTAAGTTGTTCTAGCTTTACGTATATTAGTTTTATGGCAAAGTTGAATTCGTCCAATTATCACAGGACCACCTAAAAAAATCGACGAAAGGTCTCCTCGGCCAAACCTATCGTATTAT